TGTGGGGCTGCCCAGGAGGAGCCACCATCTCTTTCGCATTTTTCATTCCACTAGCGTCGAGAAAGACGTGGAGACCGAGTGTTACTGGGCCGGTGAGTTGGGTGGGGGCAGTTTTCCTTGGAGTAGCATTGTCTCCTGCAACCAGCATTTAGGCCGACATTGTGGATGCCGACTGCATTGCTGCAATTTCCGGCTCGAACTTGTAGTACCCTTCTCCGGCCGGCTTGGTCCCTCAGATTCGCCCTGATGCTGTTGGTTCCATCTCGACGAAGCCCCTCGCCCCTGATTAGCCCCTGGGGACTATTGTTTATGGTACGACGCTTTCTCCCACGGAGACCAGGAATGCCACTGCGCCGCCGTCGGCAGTCCTGACTGCTACGGTGCACCCTGCCCACGTTTCTCAACGGACAACCTAGCCGTGATGGGAAAGGGGAGGATGTCGTTTGCCGTGTCTGCCCTTAAAATGCACCGAGTTCCTCCCCTACCGTGCGCTGCATCCGTTGCCGTTACATTCTAGGAACCACACTGCAGCAGCGCCTCGTGGCATTTCTCAGACTAAAGATGCAGCACATCATGCGCGTTGGCGTGAGCCTCAGCTGCCTTGCAGCAACGGTGGCAGCCGCTTCGATTCAGTGCCGTGGCGAGTGCATCGAGCGCGACGTTGTCGTTGTCGGTGGCGGCGCCTCCGGTGCCCATGCCGCTGTGTGGCTACGGGACCATGGCCACAGCGTTGTTGTCATTGAAAAGGCTGACCAGCTTGTGAGTATTCCCTATCCCGCTTCTCCCTGTTCCTTCTGCGGTTATACTTACTCTTATTCCTAGGGTGGCCACACCGATTTCTACAGTGACCCTGCCACGGGCAAGGCCATCAACGTCGGCGTTCAGGCCTGGATGGAATACAAGGATGCTTTTGACTTCCCCAAGCGCATGAACGTGTCGACGAGCGGGTCGATGTCGTTCACGCCGAATGAGGCTAAGTTTATTGACTACAAGACCGGCAAGCCAGTGCCCGACTACAAGGCGCCCGAGGCCGCGGACATGTACGCCGCCCTGCAGAGGTACCTCGACGTGATTGAGAAGTACGAGGACATGTTGCTGCCGGGCTTCTTCAACTTTCCCGACCCCGCCAATATCCCCGAGGACCTACTCATGCCCTTCATCGACTTCGTCGAGAAGTACGACCTCGCGGCCGCCGTCCCTCAGATCTGGGACTCCACCGCCCAGGGCCTCGGCGACACCATGAACGTGCCCACCATCTGGGTTATCCAGGCCTCCGGCATCCCCATGGTCCGCGCCTTGTTGGGCGTCGGCGCCGCTGCCGTCCCGGCTTCTGGCCGCCTGTACGACCTGTTCGAGAGCGTTGCCGAATTCCTGGGCAATGATGTCTTGTACTCGAGCACCGTCGTCTCGACCAAGCGGTACAACGACAGGAACCCTCGGAAGGACGTCGTTTTGGAGGTGAAGGGCCCCAACGGCAAGCTCACCTGCATCCAGGCCAAGCGCCTCCTGCTCGCCATCGAGCCCACGCCTGAGAACATGGCCCCCTTCGACCTCGACGCCTCCGAGAAGGCCATCCTCGGCAAGTTCAAGTACCCGACCGTCTACGCCGGCATCCTCCGCCACCCCTCGCTACAGACCCTCAACGCCTACAGCGACCGGTCGCCGGAGCCGGCGTCGTACAACTACACGCTCTTTCCCGTCGCCCCGCAAGTCGGCCGCATCGACTACCTCGGCGGCACCGAGGACCTGTTCCAGTTCACGGCCGTCGGCACCTCCGAGGACACCCCGGAGAGCATGAAGGCGCTCATCGCCAAGTCCATCGACACCATGGTTGCGGCCGGCACGCTCCCCGCGTCCGAGGGCAGCGTCAGCTTCAACATCTTCGCCAACCACGGCCACATGCACGCCCACGTCTCGGCCGACGAGCTCCGCGCCGGCTTCCTGCAGAAGCTCAACTCCCTTCAGGGCCGCCGCAGCACCTACTACACGGGCGCTGCCTTCTCGGCTGGCTTTGCCACTGTGCTCTGGGAGTACAACAAGGTGCTCCTGCCTCGCGTTGTTGAGGGGCTTTAAGCTAGGGCTCACTCGGGCTGGAGTGCCTTTGCTGTTTGTTTCATTTTCATACATAATACAGACCTAATTACCTCTAGTCATAAGAATTGAGCAGCGCTCTACCACGCCAGTTCCCCGTCCTTTGAACAATGGTACCAGCCCCTTAATACTACCTCCTAGGTACAGAACCCCCTTGCCTCACTGGTGGCTCTGAATGTTCTTGTAGTTCTATGGTAGACCACAGGTCATATCGAGTCTCCACCCATACTCTATGTGCCGCGGTTTGAACTGCTGTTTTTAGGGAGCGCGTAGCCAAGTTTCAGTAGTCTAAGCCACCTGAATAAAGTATATAAGCTGTTGAGATCGAACTAAGTACCTATACACGCTACTAATGAAGAGTAACGTTATGCATAGTATACCTAGCCTAAGTTAAAGTAAGCATTATACGATAGTAGAACAAATACAAGTATAGTTCGCTACATGTATATAGCTAACTGCTATTCTTCTTTAGCCGGTGGCGCTGAACACCATGGGAAAGATTGATCCCTACCAAGAGCGGAATCTCGTAATTATTACCAACTGGACCGACGCTCTACATGTAAGCAAGAGGCAGAGAAGCGCTGCTCTTGAAGAGTTTCGAATCAATCCCAAAGTAACGCTGTTTCTCGAGGTAGGTAGTCATCACTCTGGGCACCGGACCAATGGACTGGAGTCAGTGGGCAAATCCCCCCACGACCAACACCATGCCAACATTTTCGCCCACAAGCCGATCGACTTAGACGCCGTAAACTCGATACATCCACAAGCTACGTGGAATGCCCAGATAGAGGCAAGTGACCAGTCGACTATCGAAACCTGTGCAGAAAAAAGTAGGTAGTGTCTTCCGCTGTACGGTAGGGAAGAGCATCGAGGAAGTAGGGTTTCGCATCTTACGCACCTAATTAATGGGAGAGTTTTAACTGGCATGGGTATATATAGGAGATCGAGAGCCGATGATTGTGAAAGTTGCAACTAGCCGTCCGCGGGTAGGTTCATGGGCAAGGCTCTGACAAGAAGGTCCAGCGGAAGGCTCGCCGGCCACAAAGAGCCATGACATGGAGCTGAAGAGGTGCCTTGAACCAGTTGATGACCAATTCAAGGCCGCCGGCCTGCCACCGCCGGCACGCGGACTACCTAGGTAGGTATGTATGCTCGGTGCTCGAAGTTGCTTTCTGGGACATGGCGCATAGGTAAGGTACCTACCTACGTGGGACTTTCAAACCGGGGTGACCGACGCGATATGCGCACTGCAAGGACACAGCCATGAAAGCCACCCCAAGAACCCCGCATCTAGGGTCGTACACATATGTACTCCGAGGCACATTTGTCAAATGCATGTCGTTGCCCCGCTTTCCCGTCATTCTCTCTGCGACGCTAGATCCTCCTTCTTTCTCGCTCCTCCGATCCCTTTCTTATGCAAACTACGAGTTAGTTCTTGAGGAAATGGCGCCCAGCCCGCTGCAGACTCAGAACAGGGACGGGGGCCCAGAACCCCCAACGTCCCGCGGATTTTGCTCCACGTTGCGGCGGCACCTTTTTGGACGAAAAAGGGATGGAAACAAGAGCACCCCCATAGAGACCGCGGGCGTATCAGCAGGAAATACCTGCACGGTTCCGCGGGACGAGCGTACTCTAGCGAGAAACGGCCCCAGGACGAGTGAGAGCACTGCCGACAATGTCCAAGTGCCATACACGGTACCAGAGCCAGAAGATGAATACTTTGGTCCAATCTCAGCGCTGTGGGGAGAAGAATACGCCAATCTCGCAAAGAGCGAGGAAGAAGGGGACGACGATTGCTTCTTCACGGAGTACAAATCCATTGCGTCAAAGTTATTGGGAATCAGTACTGATGACCTGGCGAGTAACAAGCCGGATCAACGAGCAGAGACGGCCAGGGTTCAGAAAACGCTAGAGGGCCTTATTGACGAGAAGAAATGGATACTGGGCCCTTTCGGGGTAAAAGAAGCTATTAAGGCCACGGTTGAAGTCGTGAACGGCGCTAGAGACTTGGTTGGGGCTGGTATCACAGCTTCAGGATGCCTCCCCGCAAGTTTGGCCTGGTCCGGTGTTTGTATCCTCCTGCTGGTAGGTTTCTAATCTTTTCCTCTTTCGCCCCAATGCTAACTTGTGGCAGCCTCTCGTCAGCGCCCTGGCCGCAAACGACGAAAGAGTTAACTCCCTACAGGACATTGCTGTCATCATTGCAATTTGCGATGCTAGGGAGTCTTTCTATGCTCGTGAGTTCGAAGAAGGGGGCTTTAACAAGATAAAACAGTCAAACATAGCACATGGCGTCTTTCGACAGACACTCTCCCGGTTATACGGCGATATCCTCAGGTTCTATGCCCGCAATGTCTACTACCTTTCTCGAAATACTCCTGCGAGATTCCTTCGCGATTTTGCGAAACGGGACGACTGGAAGGCTCAATTGCAGGGTATAAAGGAGAAGGCGACAGCAGTCGATAAAGCCGTATCTGAAGTCCTCATCCAACATAGAGCAGAGTTCCAAAGGCTTTTGACGGCGATTGGCCAAAACCAGGTCAAGTTGCTGCAGAGCCAAGTCAATCTGCTGCAAAGCTTCGTTGAGAGAGCAGAGCGAGACGACAGGTCTCAAATTCTCAAGAGTCTTAAAGTGATCGACCACGAGGCAATGCTGAGTTCGATCCGGGATCAGCGCCCTAAGAGAACTGAGAACGTCCCATCATCGCTCAGTGGTACCCATGGCGCCTCTGCCGCAGTGGATAACGAGCAACATCTGACACCATACCCCGTCGGGAAATGGCTCTTGGAGAACAAAGAATTTGTCGACTGGAAGACCAGTCCAAACTCGGTGCTCTGGCTCCACGGTCACGGTAAGTCGCTCCCGTCGCTCCCGTATTTGAACGGCTGGCGAATGGCAGCGCTAACTTGGCCTACTGATAAGTTGGCGCCGGGAAGACCCTGTTGAGGTGAGGCCACCCTTTTCCCTCTGCACCTCCCCAATTCCTGACCATGGTTCTGGCGTCTGCGAGTTGCTCTCCACATAGCGAGACTGTGATCACCCATCTCAATGGCCACGTGAAACTCTGTCGAGAGCAGGCCAAGCATGCCGCTGTCGCTTACTGCTTCATCCGGTTCTCGGAGCCGAAAACCTTCAAGCGTGACAACATCGTCAAGTCGCTCATTGCGCAGTTCTACGCCGCAGGACCTGCTACCGCGGCAGCTCTTTTGCTCAGGGAGCAGATGGCCGAACTTAGAGACGAGAAGGAAATTGGCAGCGTCCTACAAGAGTTCATTTCCAGCTGTCCAGGCGGCGCATACATAGTCATCGACGGCGTGGACGAGTGCCCAGATACTGGACCTGTCGACTCGCCTTACGGAGGGGAGCCTAGCAATCCACGACAACATCTGCTGGACTTGCTGCAGGCCCTACCAGGACGGAGGTCGGAGAATCTTCACCTATTCGTCAGCAGTCGGCCCGCACCAGACATAAGAGGGCTCTTGTGCCGGATAAACCCCCGCATCATTGACCTGGGGGATTGCCGCGCCGAAACCGATCATGATATCAGCGACTTGATTGATGCAACGCTCGGGGAGTCCTCGTTCGAGGGCAGCTGTCTCCACAAGAATGAAACCCTGAAAAGCAGTTTCAAACGCGAGCTCCTCAACAAAGCGAACGGAGTGTAAGTACCTACGTGGTATAGTATATACCTACCTTGCAACCAATTGCCATGTGTTCAAGTATTGAGGACGAAGAAGCGGTCCAACCGGACCTCTCGCAGTATACAATATGCCCGAATTGCGCTCTCGCGAATTAGTAGAGAGGTTCCTCTCAATGAAACGCAGCTCAGCGAACTCCTGGCGAAATTACCCGAGGGTTTGAACGCCTTGTACAAGGAAGCGCTTATCAAATTGCCCAAAACTCACCATGAGACTATTCGCCGTCTTCTGATTTGGCAGCGGTTTTTCGTCCATGGGCCCATGAACCTTGCTGAGGTGGGAGAAGCTTGCCGAATACCACTTCCGGCTCCCGAGCAGCCCGATTTCAAACTCGACCCCTCGTTCCCTAATCCGCGCGGCATCGTTGACCGATTACCTGGTATCTTGCTCGTCCAAAAGTCCCCTGGCGTCCACTTGCCCGACCCGGAAACCCATACCGACTGGGTTGTGACGGTTGGCCACTATTCGTTTATAGAGTTTCTCCAGTCTAGCGACATCATCACGGATCCCAGATTTGAGCAAGTCAAGTACTTCGCTATTGACGTGGACAAGACACGCATGGAGCTCGCATTCGCCTGCCTCAGTTACTTGTTGCATTCCTCCCGTCAAGTGCACTTGTATTGCGACCTGGAGCAGTTTTTGAAGAGCTTTCCACTGTTCCAACGCTCAGCAGAGGGCAGCTTTGAGCTTGCGGAGCACGTTCACCATAAGACATGGCCACAACCCTTCAGGGACGCCCTTGAATATATATTCTTCGGGCCTATGTCTAAGGAGCCTATTCGGCTTTTGAAGCTGCTCGCAGTCGATGAAGGACCTGGGTGTGGTAGCTACGACTACGCTGGGGCGCTGACGTATTTGGTTGACTTTGGCCACACCCGTATCCTACGCTTTATCCTCAAAGAGCTTCTCCTCAGGGAGGAGAATAATTCATTGTCGGATTCAAGCCTGGCACGAGAAGATCTTGACATCGGGCTCCATCGCGCATGCGCATTTGACCTGCCCGATATCGTCACTCTCTTGCTTAGATACCAGGCCAATCCGCAGACACCTGCAAAAAGGACATGTGCGTCTAATGACCCCGACATCTGCCAGCGACTGCAAGCAGATCCACACGCTGCGCGCGCGCATGCTGGTAAGCCCAACCCTACATGCGCGGTTGGCGTTGCCCTTCAAAACCATGCGGCCAGGGCTCTTCGCGCTCTGTTGGAATGGCACCAAGGAGAGGCCTTGCAAAGCTGCAATGAGAAACACCATACTCACCTGATATCCGCCGCCATGAAGGATGACAAAAGGTGTTTTTATGAGCTCTTGCAGCGTGATCCATATGTTGGCGTTGAGATCGACGGGCTACCTGTTCTCCACATCCTGGTTCTCTACCACAGTCCACTATCGACTTTTCTTCGCAGCAGCGTTGGCTCAAAGGTCGACTATAGGGCACGGGACCGCTGTTTTGGAACTGCGCTTCAATGCGCAGTCGCTATAGGCAGGGGTGGGTCGGTTCACGACTTGCTCATGGCTGGCGCCTCCATGGACGACCCTTCTGACCCAGCATGGGAAACTCTTCTGCGCGACATGAGCAAAGGCGAGCACTTCAACCTTGAGTGGTTCGTAACCGTGTGGGGGTTTCCGGATGGGGATAAAGCCGCGGCCAGGTTGCGAGCCTTTCAGGAGGTGTTTGGGGATCGTTGTCGGGAACCTGGTCTGAGTCCTGAGGATCGCCAGCATCTCGCCGACGAGGCAGGCGAATGGGTTTGGAAATGGGAGCCTTAGATCTAGCACAAACAATTCTCGTAGGATACATTTACTGTGTCGGGGCGGGGCCCAGGTGCCAATAAGTGGGAATGGGCCAACACATATGCTAGAAACGAACCCGAGTTGATGATTAAAAGAATAGTGATGCGGAACACTGAATCTAATTGCAAATAGTAGAAAAAAGGTAGAAAAAAGAGTTGTCTGTTCAAAGGTAGAAGGCGCCTCAGCCTGCACTGCAATATAGTTGTGCGCGCAGAGCGCACAGACTATTTGCAGAGGCGGCCTGACACGGACTATCTTTAAGTAACTCTAATCACACAGTGGGGATTCTTGCATCACTTTTTCTTTTTCTTTTTCTTTTTTTTTTTTCTTTTTTGAATGTTATCCACTCTCTCACTGCCTCAAAACATGGTATTGGCCCTCACCCGATGCCAGACTTATCATCGAGCTGATGACAGTTACACGAAGGCTATCCGAGACATTGACTGGTCGATAAATTATCCTATTTCCTGAACGGCTGGATATGGTCGTATCCGGCGTCGAAACAAGCTCGCCGCGTCGGCAGTCAGCAAGATGGCCGAGCGAGGATCAGGATCCTACCCGCACGCGCAGGCAGGGATGACTCAGTCGGTGAAGACACTAATAATTGGACGTTAGTTATATTGGCCTCTCTTTCGAGCATATGGCTCCCTTGCCTGAAACATCCAACCCTCAAGTCACGCCCTTGCATGGCCTCGACCGGCCGGGTCTCACGACGGGAGCAATGGCCTCATCTACACCCCAAACCGCACTTCTTTCCCCTTTGGACCAATGCATGCCTAGGATCTACACCACCCTATTTCTTGTCTTCGAGACACCCGACCCAGCCACCGCAGTTGAAAACCTCCGAGCTGGTCTGAAGAGGCTCAATAAACATCTTCCTTACCTCAAAGGCCGGGTATTTGCAGCAGATGGCGGACGGGCTGCACTACGATGGTCCCCGAAGGACGTGGACGTTGAGCTACAGGAGATGCCTACCGATGGGGTGGTTCTATTAGGGCTAAGTTTTGAAAAAATCAGAACCGAACGCGCACCACTACACTACTTCCCTCCTACCATCAGCCCTCTTTCGAGGTTCGCCAGCCTCAACTCGGACTCGGGTGCCGCGGTTTTTGCGGCCACCTACGGGCTGGTCGACGGTGGTATGATCCTGGGGCTCTCGGTTGAGCACAACGTAATGGACGGCACCGGCGTGGTCGAGCTGATCCGCTTCTGGGCCGCTTGCACACGGTCCGACATCACCGACGCGGCAACAACACCAACACCTGACCCCAATGAGCCGATCTACCGCACCACGCTGCTGCGCCGGGCGACAGGACTGGATGTCACGGAGGCCCAACGCCAGACACCGCCAACTTTCAACGACCTCCTCGCCCGCCACCCTGAATTCCGCCTACCCTCCACCACCACGCCAACAACAACCCCTTCTACTTCCCTCCCCTCACCCCTAGGCATCTCCAAAATCTTCACCATTTCCCTCACCAAACTCGAAGCCACCAAAACCACCCTCCAATCCCCCCACCCCAATACAACCCCACCCCCAACCACCAACAGCATCCTCTGCGCCACCCTCTGGTCCTGCATCACGCGCGTGCGCACCGCCCGGCGCCGCAAGACCAACACTACCACCACCACCACCCCTTCCTCCTCCGCAGCAACACCAGCAGCAGCAGGACCAGAAGAAGAAGTGAAAGCGGGACATTCCCAGCTCGGCTTCGCCATCAACGGGCGCGCGCGGCTCGGCGTGTCTTCCGGGCTGGCGGACCCGCAGCGGCCGTTTCTGGGGAATGTCAATCTCTATGGGCTGGCGGGGATGGGGGTGGATGTGTTGGGGCGGGCTACTGCTGCTACTGCTAGCACTGGCACTACCGGCACTGCTGCTGCTGTGGCAGAGGACGGTGAGCGGGTGGAGGCGCTGGCGCGGGTGGTGCAGGCGATTGGGGAGGCGGTGGGACGGGTGAGGGGGGGGTTTGTGGGCGAGGTGTTGGAGTTGGTTGAGCGTGTGCCGGAGGGTGGTGGTGGTGGTGGGTTTTTCCTCCTGCCTGGTTGGGATGCGTTTCATGGGATGGATGTCACGGTTACGAGCTGGGCGAATATGGGGGTGTATGGGGTGGATTTTGGGAAGGGGGTGGGGAAGCCGTGCTTTATGAGGGTGCCGCGGGCTGAGACGGACGGGTTTGTGATTGTGTTGCCGCGGAGGAGGGGGGAGGTTGTTAAGGAGGAGGGGATTGAGGTGGTGGTGGCGATGCACCCTGAGGATATGGCGGCGTTGGAGGGGGATGCTGTTTGGAGGAGTTATCTCCTTCCTGATTCTGGATAATTTCCTGACGAGTTTGTTTGTCAGCACCCTTCCTTGTGTGACTGGAGGCCGTCCCGGGTTCCCGCAAGCTACACGTTAGGCTTCGCACTATCTCTCGACGAGGTTTGGTTCCCCGCACAAATCGTCCAAAAACCAAGAGGCTCACGGTTGGCTAAGACTCTTGGTAGGTGCCAGAACGGTGACTCTTTCCCCTTTTGGAAACGTCTGGGGGGCGCTGGCCGTTGTTTTGGATTTTGGCACTTGGCAGTTCCGCAGGACCTTCGTTTTTCTTTTGTGCGTGCCGTTCAAGTTTTGATGATTTTTTGCTCCTGCATCGCAGCATCATTTCTACGACTATTAATTCTCAATTCTCTCTCTGGCCGGCCCACAACCGACCTTGTCGATCGCGCATCACTACCGAGCCGCTGCACGTCGGTATTGCAAAATAAGCGACCGTTTCTTTATATTGCTGCATCCCGGTACTCGGTACCCGGATCGTCGCCAGTGGACAACGATTCTTGCAACGATGGCGGCACCACGTTCATGGCATTTTGGCTGAATTCACCCGTCAAAGCCGTGCACCTTCGATCCCCTTCGACGATGGTCAGTGAAACATGTCGTTGCATTTCCCCACAACCGCCATCGACGGGAACCTGCGCCGCTTCGGAAGTAGCCTCCCGCATTGCCCGAAACGGATGGCTTGCCGATGGCTTCGTGTGGCGGCCACTCATACCGTCGCTCCCATTCGAGGACTTCCAAATCCGGCCCAACGAGATTGCCATCCAGACTTTAGGAGGGAGGGTCCAAGACGGCGCAAAGACCCGCTCTTCTCGATCCAGGCCGTCGCCGTCACCAAACGTTACCACTCCTGGCCTTGGTCCCCTTCCTCAGATGGCACCATGCTGCATTCGGAACACTCGGCAGCGAGCTCACCTGCCCGAAATTCCACACCTTCGCCGCAATGCTGAGCACGAGCCTGATTCTTCGTGCTTCTCTCTGCATGCCCAGGCGGACGGACGTTCCTGTGATTTTGTTGGGTCTGCATTGCTCCGCTTCTGGGATGATGGCTTGGTGCTCGGACGGTAGCCATAGCCAAGGGCGAAGGGAAGCCAAGCTATGCATGATCTGGGGGAGTGAAGGTGTCATTGGATTTAGGTATAAAAGAGTTGTAAATCCCAGGTTTGTCCCTGACGATCCTCAGTGTCGATCAGCCTCCCAAGCATCCCAAGCACCCCCCCAGTACCCCACACTCTCTGTCTACTACCTTTTTGTGAGCTCCTGAAACGCCGCCAATATGTCCAAGGCATCCGCCCTCCTCGCTACCCTCACGGGTGCGGCCCTTGTCGCCGCCCACGGGCACGTCAGCCACATCATCGTCAATGGGGTATACTACGAGAACTACGACCCCACGACACACTGGTACCAGCCCAACCCGCCGACGGTGATCGGGTGGAAGGCCGCCCAGCAGGACAACGGCTTCGTCGAGCCCAACAACTTCGGCACATCCGATATTATCTGCCACAAGAGCGGCTCCCCCGGCGGCGGCCACGCCACCGTCGCAGCCGGCGACAAGATCAGCATCGTCTGGGACCCGGAGTGGCCCGAGTCCCACATCGGCCCCGTCATCGACTACCTCGCGGCCTGCAACGGCGACTGCGAAACCGTCGACAAAGCCTCCCTCCGCTTCTTCAAGATCGACGGCGCCGGCTACGACAAGACTGCCGGCCGCTGGGCCGCCGACACCCTCCGCGCCAACGGCAACAGCTGGCTCGTGCAGATCCCCGCGGACCTCAAAGCCGGCAACTACGTCCTCCGGCACGAGATCATCGCCCTCCACGGCGCCAGCAGCCCCAACGGCGCGCAGGCCTACCCGCAATGCATCAACCTGCGCGTGACCGGCAGCGGCACCAACGCGCCCAGCGGCGTGGCCGGCACGTCGCTGTACCGCGCCTCGGACGCGGGCATCCTCTTCAACCCCTACGTCGCCTCGCCCAACTACCCGGTGCCCGGCCCCGCGCTGATCGCCGGCGCCGCCAGCTCGGTCGCGCAGAGCAAGTCGGTCGCGACCGCGACCGCCTCCGCCACCCTCCCCGGCAACAACAACGGCGGCGGCCCCAACCCGCAGCCTACTACCGCCACCACCACGGCCAACCCGGGCGTCTCGACCACGCTGCGCACGAGCACGAGCACGAGCACCTCGGCGCAGGTCACGCCCCCGCCGACGGGGGGGAATGCCCAGACCAAGTATGGACAGTGCGGGGGTAGTGGGTGGACGGGCCCGACGGCTTGCGCGGCGGGGTCGAGCTGCTCGGTGCTGAATGATTGGTATGCGCAGTGCGTGTAAGGAGGGGGCGGGGTGTGTATGATGTTGTGATGTGACGAATGATGATGGTAGAACGTAGGTAGGGTATTGTCGAAGAACTGGGCGAATGCGCCCGTTTTGATGTACATAGTTTTGGGAACTTGTATAGTTCCGTGTCAATAGCAACCTCGCAGTCTAATGTTGGTGGCCCTCGATTGTGTTGGTATGATGTGTTGTCTGTTGTTGTCCTTCCCTGTGGTTGGTGGCCGAGGAATTCTGCTCCAAATCCCCATCTGTCTCGCACTCGCCTGGTGCTGCCCAACTTCAATCAAGGCGCAACCGCTGTTCACCCAACACCACAACACATGCACCGGGGTTGACCGTCAAAGCGAGGTAACCAAACCCTGGATTTTTCTATCTCCCAACCAACATTTTTACACACAGGCACCCGACCAAAAGCTACAGACCGAGCCTGAACCCGGGCCCGGGATATCATACCAATTCGTGAGCGGGGAATCATGCCGAAAGCGCAAAGGAAACAAAAAAAGACGCCACAACCTATCAAAAAAACGCCCAAACCGCATAATCATCTCGTTCCGCGCCAGACATGACCTATCCAAGCGCACTTTTGTCTCACCACCACCAGCGACCACCCACCAGCTCAGCTGCATGAATACTGTGGACAGGGTAAAGTGAGAGATCAGAACTGGCCATCACCGCCACCACCCAGCACCCCGGCGGCCCACAGCCCAACCAATCCCCACCAACTGACCTTCCAGCCCCTCCATAGGCCATCCAAGCCCTGACCACGGCGATACACCGTCTCCGCAACAGTGGCAGGAGGGGGCACGGTCTTCCCCTTCTTGCCCTTCTGGACCGGAGCAACAGCCGACGGCGGCGGGGGGAGGGCGTGCGAGCCCTCCTCGTGCACGATGGCGTACATGGTGCCGAAGAAGCCGCGGAAGGTGCCGAGGGGCACGACGGTCTCCAATTCCAGTTCCGTCTCCGTCTCGGCGGCGCGCTTGCTGCCCTTGGTGGTGGGCGCGGCGGGGGCCTCGAGGGCGTGGAGGTACGCCTCGGAGCGTAGCACGGCGGCCTGGCCGCGGCGCAGCACCGTCTCCAGGGGCAGCTTGAGCAGCAGGGCGACGGTGGAGGAGCAGAACTTGGCGATGGAGAAGGTGGTGGGCGCCAGCTCGCGGTCGATCATGAAGTGCGTGCGCAGCACCAGCGGCGTCGACAGCGTCAGCAGCGGGTGGATCAGCGAGTGCAGCACCGTCGGCACCAGGAGCGGTGCCGGGCAGAGGTAGGATGGCAGGCTGCGCAGCGTGGACAGCGTGCGGCGGGCCCGCGATCCGGTGGAGGTTATGACCAGCCTGCGGGGTTGGGTTTAGTGTGGGGTTGGTTTGGCATGGGTCTGGGTGCAGGAGGTGGGGCTGGCTTACCGGGTGCGGACGAGGTCGAGAGGGGAGAGGATTAGGCCTGTCACCACGGCGGCCGCGGCCGCGACACACAGCGAGGCCCATGGGTAGGGGGATGCAATGTCCACGAGCCGATCCATGTCGTGGCGGACGCCCAGGTCGGGGACGTTAAAGAGGGCGCTGAGGAGACTGCGCGACCAGTTCTCGAGGAGGGATTGAAGGACCGAGTAGATAAAGGTCGCATTTGAGCCTTTCCACACGCCCCATGCGCCCTCTTTCTGCCAGAGCTGGGCGATGACCTCTAATACAGAGTCCGGCGTGCGAATGCCCAGTTGGTGGGCAGCTAGGGCCTTCGCGGGCGGCTGTGGTGATGGCGGGGTCAAATGTGGTGCGTGCCTCGAACGGGGTGCGGGCGATGGTGTGCGCGGCCGGTGGGAGGTGAAGAAGGCCGACTCGTCGACATCCGACTCGGAATCGGATTGGGCGCCCTGGTGCGATGTCAGCGGGTTGCCATCTTCCGCATGGTCCGAGAAAGCTCATACTTCGTTATACATGTGTATCTTTTGGCTGGCCTGCCGTTGCCTGGATTCCTCCGCTGCCTCTGCGGCGGCTTCTAACCCACCGAGGTCGTCTTGGGCTCGAACCTGCATGATGGTTTTGGCGACCTCGAAAGGTTGGGCCATCAGCACCGATGTGTACTTCCATAGCAGCTCATCCAGGACTTCCTTGACCGTCTGCACCACCGAGGGAGACGGCTCGGCAATATAGTCTTTGTAGTCGATGTCGGAAAAGATGTCGCGTGCCTTGGACGCATATCTGCCCGTCGAGTTGGCTTGGGTGAATGCTCGGGGTCCCGGCGTGGGGAGCACCTCGGCCGGTTCTCCGATCGAGGGTGGGAGGTAGTAGGGTCTTAGGGGATTAACCCCGTCATTATGGTTTGCCATGATGTCCTGTGTGTGCGCACAAGCACAACACAACGGCAGTGATTCTGGTCGTCCCGCTCGTCGTTTTGGCGAGGTCGTTGGGCTAGGTGGACGGGTGGGATTTTGGGACGATTTTCTAGCTGCATGTGCATGACGAGGTCGAGGTGAAATAAATGGGCTCTGGCGCGATAAGCTGCGGGCGGAACTCACAACACCCATGCACCCCACTACATATTGCATAAACGGGGCTTAGATAACGGTAAGCGGGGAGAAAAGCCCAAGGTGCCCGCCAAAGTTTCTTATACGGAGGTATCGGAGTTCGCATGCTCTTCGACCGAGATTCCAGTCATCTCACAGTACCTTCTTTGCATTCGCCTCGCGGCGGCTATACGATAAATTGCTCGCAAAGCCGATAGGTTCGGCACTGAAACTCAAGAAGCACAGAGGAGAGGAGCGGTGTGTTTGCTTGTTTCAGTTCTGATGTTGCAAGAAGTTGTTTGCTTTTTTTGCGCTCCCGCTTTTTAGAGATCCAGGGCTCTTTCGCCCTGCCCTTGCTCTTTCCTCCGCCCGCTCCGCGCCAGGATCTTGCTCCCCGCCCGAAAACGCCGCCGCCGCCATGTCGACGCCCAAATTGTTTGCCCCAACCCTTCGGAGTCTGAGACTCGCCCCGAGACGTACCGCCGGGCCTACCGCGCGGCATATACGATGTTACACCAAAGCTGCCGCCGTGCCCCTGCCGGCCGCCGCAAGCCGATCAACCCCAGTCCGAGTGCGCCGGTCGCCGTGGCCGATTCCGTTGCAACAAAGGCCGTTTTCTGTCTCGGCCGCCGTTTCGCATGGCCATGTAGAGCCTCCCAAGCCCGGTGAAGAGTATGGGCTTCCAATTGATGTCCTGGTCCAACCTTTGCCCCGCTGACCGTCCTAGGCTCTACGTGACGTTCATCGACAAAGAAGGTGTCGAACACAAGATTGCCGTGTCCAAGGGTGATAACCTGCTCGATATCGCGCAAGCGAACGATCTGGAGATGGAGGGTGCATGCGGCGGGTCTTGCGCCTGCTCGACCTGCCACGTTATTGTGCTGGACCAGGATTACTACGACAAGATGCCCGAGCCGGACGATGACGAGAACGACATGCTCGATCTGGCATTTGGGCTGCAGGAGACAAGTCGGCTAGGCTGCCAAGTCGTCATGAAGCCCGAGCTGGACGGGTTGCGGGTGAAGCTGCCGTCCATGACGAGGAATCTGCAGTCGAGTGATTTCAAATGAAGGCACGCATATTCGGAGATATTTTCTTCTCTTAGACTGGCGTTGTGCGCGATGCATACACATGGGACTGGAAAGTTCGCAAAAAGATACCAAAAGTACGGCGGGCAGAGATGCTGGTTCGACGATGATATCCTCCTTAATCTGGCGCGGTGGCATCCTGGACGTTCTTAAAAAAAAGCCAATATCGGCCGATACAATGTACATGTACGATAGCAGGTGTTCCCACGAGGAAGGGCCGTACATAGACAACCAGAGACTCTGCTCTGAAAAGAGCAGTTGAAACCAAACAAAATAAAAACACCCCGCGACGCTACTACGCCTCCTCCAAACCGCCCTTCTTCAACCCCCCACCCCCGCTCGCGATCAGATCCAAAAACCCCTTCCGACTCATCTCGGTAACCTTCTCCTGCTTCCGATCCACCCCGACGACCCCCTCCTTGCGGGCGGCCCTCTCCGCCTCGGTGGCCTTGACCTGCGCGGCGCGCACGGCGTTGAACAATTTGACGACACCGCGCTGGGCGACCTTGCGCAGCCTCTTCTCGGCGGCCAGGATCTCGCCCGTGGTGGCGGCCTCGCCGGGGGCGACGTCGGGGACCTCCTCGATCTCGCCGGTGGCGACGTTGAGGGTGCGCGCGGTGCTGGCGACCAGTACGTCGCGCACGCGGCCCTTCTCCATGGCCAGCCGCTTCTGCTCGCGCAGCCGCTTGCGCGCCTTGGCCTCAAGCGCCGCGTCCACCGCCTGCCGCGACTGCTCCGCCGCCGCCGCGCTGCGCGCCACGATCGGGTCTGCCCGCCGCGACGCCGGCAGCTTGGACGCTAGCATCTTGGAGATGGACGTCGCGAACGCCGCCGGGTCGTTGCGTTTTGACCGCGTGTCGTTGCCGCCGCGCCGTGATTCTGTTGCCGAATCGTCGTCGCTGTGACTGGCGGCGTCGGAGAACTCATCTTGGTCGCCGTCGTCGGATGAGTGATCTTCTTTGCTGCCGGCGGAGTTGGGGGAGGCGGGGGCGTCTCGGGCGACGAAGGGTTTAGGTTTTGGTGCTGTTTCGGCCTCGGATTGTGAGTTGGAATCGGATGCGGAGCCGGCTGAAGATGCGCCGTCGTCTACCTCGATGTTGTCGAGGTCCTCGTCGTCCGAGTCGAGCAGGTTGGCGGGAACAGGTGCATTCTCATCGTCGCTTCCACTTTCTTCAGAGCTGCTGTGGTAGGCCGCTATTTTCCTTTGCTTTTTGGTCGGCCGTGCCGCCCGGCTCTTAGGACCATCGCTGATTGAGCGCTTCTTTATCGATGAGCCAGCCATGGTGTGCTCTGGTTGTGGTTCAATTGGTGTTCGATGACGGTGGGACTAGAGCCGGGCAATGGACCGCGGGAGCAATGGCCATGCAACTTTCCCGAAATTTTTGGCGGTGGGCGGCGGCAGATTTGTGCCCCGCAATACAAGCCTTCTTGGCATTGTGCTTTCAACAACTTCCGTCCCTCCTCTCATTCCTCCCTTATCGAAACGAACGACAATTACGAATACACCTCCACAACTCCTTGCATAAGTTCAGGCGAACATGTATTTTAATTTTCCGTCGCTTACTGTCATCTACTCTCTGTTTTTACACAACCCCGGCCACGGAATCGAACTCGGCCAGTTGCCAGGCAAATCCCAGGCCAGTCTTGCAGATGAGGCACGGCGTGTAGGCATTGAACAATATCACGCGGCATCTCACTTTATGGCGGCCGGTTGTGACACTCGGCATGAGTTCAATTCAGCTATGGGATTGGTGACAACAGGACCACCAATCTGAACTATAACGGCTCCCTTGAACGCTACCTCATATCGTTGACCGACGAGTGCCGGCAGCCCTGCTCCAACTTCTTGCCGACTGTCAAGTGACTTTGGTTTCTAAACTTCTGTCAGTGAACGAGACCCTTCGCTTTATTGCCCCCCTGCACACACTCACGGGCAACCTACGCCACTACTTCACTTCTTCAAGTGGACGATGCGGCCCTTGGTGTTGGAGGCGTGGCTGCCGAAGGAGCGCTGGTTGGTCATCTCCTCAGCGGAGAGGTTGGATGGAAGGGTGGTCGCCTGGTCTGCGACGCCGGAGGCGGCGGGCCACACGGATTTCCAGGGCTGGTTGGTGCCGGGCATGTTGTTCGAGTTGGTGGTTCAAAGTTGGGTACTGCTTGTGGAGTTGTTGTTCGGTCTGGGATATGAAGCGAGTCGTGAGCCATGAAGACGGGTTACGGCGTGGCCATCTTATAGATGAACCCTAGCAGGCATCATGTCTGCTTCTGTTTGACACCCGACGTCGGCTCGATACTAGGGTTTCCTTCCGAGAGGGAACTCTGGTCAACCTTCATCAATGCGTAGCTTGATAGGCCCTCAACCTTCTCTATCTTGCGCAATATTTCGCCAATCTTTTCCTCCTTCAGCATAGCACGAAGCCTTATATTAAGCGAAGGGAGAGGGCTGAATGCATCTCGACGCAGAACGAGGAAGCCGACAGGATGCCCAAATCGCGCCGTACACCACGCGACCTCCGTACCATGTTTCGTGCATTACGCGATCGAGCTCCTGCAGGTGCTACCAATCAGGCACAGAGAATAAAGCTCGCGATGCCCTTCTGCAGGAGCAATATCTCTCAAATCTGCTCAGTGCATCCCACGAGGCATTCCCTCGACCCCCCAAACCCCTCGATGGAACGGTGGGGTATAGCCGTTCTATCCGAAATGGGAACCCGGTGGTTAACAGCATCAACGTCATCCGCCTATCAAAAGCATCAATCCCTCAAGGCTCCCTCCAGTGATGTTTACCATAGTCTGGCCGTCTGATTCCCTCTGTCATCCCCGACCAAGCTGTCTGTCGCCATCCTCCACACGACTCTAACCTCCCTCACGGCTACGTGACAATGGCCGACTCAATTACAGCCACTATCAGATACGTCCAGCGGGATGAAAGCCAGGACCTCAGTGAGAAGCCATACATTTTGCACTATGCGGCCCCTGATGGGTTTCCCCAAAACAACTTTACCATCAAGCCTGTCCACGGCATCAAGGTCCACAACTTTCGAGCCTCTGGGGTCACCTACGAAGAGCGTGGCATAGGGATAGCTCCCATCAATAGCAACGGGATGAAGCCCGAATGCTTTGACGATGACGACTGGGTCGAGCAGATCTATCTCCCAGAACTTCACCGGTCCGTCTGTGCCGCCCTCGGGGCAAAAGACATGACCATCTTCGACTGGATGTTGCGCAAGCGAGCACCTTCCTTCCCAGTGAGGAAGCCAGGCGAGGATAACGGGGAAAATCATCAGCCCTCGCTGTCAGCGCACATCGGTGAGAGATAGCCATGCCATAGACCCTCTTATTTGCTGCCCGGATGGTTTTTGACCCTAGACAGACTACACCACGGCGGAACTCGCTTCCCGGTTACCGCAGTACTTTGGTGAAGATCGGGATGAGATTCTCAGCCGGAAGTACCAGGTCATCAAGTAAGCTCATCTCAGCCTTTTCCTACGCCATAACAGGACATATTTTAGCTAACGCACGGCCTTAGCATCTGGAAGCCATTGACTGGCCCATGTCGTGACTTCCCCATGGCATACTTAGACCCAACAACAGTCGACCGGGAGAAGGACCTCATGACCGTCGATGAGGTGTTCCCCACCGTGGCCAACGAGGTGTTCCAGGTCCGGTGGAACCCGGACCACAAGTGGTACTACGTGCCTGACCAGCTCGAGTCCGAAGTCACCATCTTCAACGCTTTTGACTCTGAGAAGGGTCAAAGCCTGGCTGTCCCGCACTGTTCGTTTGACTTGGGTGACGCGGCGGGCTCCGCGATCCCGAGGCAGAGCATTGAAGTTCGGGCGTTTATTTTTTACTAAGGGTAATAGTTGGGGTCAACGCCGGTCCGGCTGTGGTAGGCTGAGTCTTATTTCCCAGCAGCGGGGGAACTTGCCTAGAGAAAACCTTCGTTTGCCGCAAAGGGGGCTTTGTAACTAAACACCTAGGGTATCATTTACCAGATTGGCACGCCCACACAATACAATCGCGGATCAATCCATCGTTCCACCCTCACCCAACCTTCGAAGCTCAGCCAGGTCCATGACACCCGGAGTCTGGCCTCCCAAGAGCGCACTCCCCGATTACGGCTATCGCCCCAGGAACCCTTTTTGCTACGCCATCTATGTGGAAACCACACAACATCACCAGGGCATTATATACTCCAAGCCCAAGCTCTCTCCGATGGTTTGTTGAGCTACTCCGCGGTTACCTTTCCCAACCCGAACGATTCCATACATACAGTCTGCCTGCAGCCTATTATTGGCTGGGCGGCGAAAAGCTCGATCTCGCAGATCAATGGAATATGCCAAAGGATTCCAATGGGTGCGCCAGATGATGATCGGGAGGGATCCCTCCTACCGGGCCAGCCGCCTCGCGATAAGGCGGAGTGGGCGAACGTGGCCATCGACGCTCTCTTCGCGCAGGGCCTCTTCCTGCCGCTGGGCCGGTTGGACGCTAAAGAACCCAATTTCAGCCCTGGCCCGAAGCGACGCCCCTTGGCCGGGTTTACATTGTGGCCGGGGGCTCCAAGGACACCTGTTGTGGAGTTGCTCGGGGCTGAATTTGGTGTGGTGCAAGAGACCGAGGTGTTTGAGGGTGTGGGTACCTTGGACCCCTACCTGGAGCCCGGCTTGCCCTATGCGGCGCGGAGGCGCGGGGCGAATGCAGGACACCGCCCTCCTTCACCGCACCGGGCTGAGAATGGTGTGGCGAATGCACCACACCCTTTTCCTCCCCATCCATCTCCAGCTGCCGCGGCGCCAGAGAGCGTCAAGCACCCGGCTCAGGCTAGCAGGGCGACAGCGCTTCCTTGCGAGCATTGGTTGAGGCTAGGTGCTTTGCTCATCTCTCTGTGTCTTGCTGTTTACTCCATGAAGGGGGGGTCGGCGGGCCCTGCTTCTTACCTTCTACTCGTCTTTATTTTATTTTTCCTAAGCGGTCCGAGGGCGGCACTGGTAGGTGGTCACTAGGGGGGGTGCGCGGGTCTGGGAGAATAAATGTCTGTTTCCTTCGATTGGGCCTTGCCTTTGGATTAGTAAAGGGGGATGGATGGATGTGGGTGGGAATATCTGTTGTATTTCTGTTCAATTTCCTCCTTGGTTTGTTAATGGGGGTTGGGTTGGGCGGTGTGAATTTGAAGGAGGGGACAGGCATCCGCTACCTATTTATTTCGTCTCTCCCACAAGGAAGATATTCGCGGGGCAGAATGACTAGAGGAAGAACTTGATAATTTGATGTCTGTCTATTGGATTGGTTTTCTTCTCACAAAGTATAATTGTAATCTTTGTGGCGTGTCATGAGGTCTGCTTCAGCAAAGTACTCGTCCAACATTCCAGCAAGCTCCGAGCCCCAACTGGACCCCGTGCGATCGAACCGTCGCCCGTACACGTCGCTGCAACAATACTCCCAGTACACCGGATACCATCCAGCGTTCTGCCAATTGACCATAACGACAGTTCCGTCTTTACGGAGAATGAGATTCCGCCCCACTAGATCGGCATGAGTGAAGACGGATTCATTGTGCCCGTTAAAGACTTTGCGGTAGGCACGCTGTACCGCTTGGAACTCGGCGAGGAATATGAGCATTGACCGTGGGGAGGTAACGCAGCATGGCCTCAGTCCACTGCTCGTTAGTCTCGTGTGGCCCCGAGGTAGCCTTGTCCGGGTGCGGTCGTTGTTGGATCCATTTGCATGAAACTCCTTTCTCGTACCCGTTGCCCCCAAATGCCGCCGTAGTAGCCCGGGGAGGGGATACTACGTATCTTGTCCAGGTTTCGGCGTATCTGGGCAGCGATAGCTGACCTTTCCGGCAGATCCAGCGTATCCAATATATCTCCGAGGTGCCATCCTGGGATAAACTCTTGGATGATGAAGTTCAAGCCAGTTCCCTCATGTAGAACATTGCGTAGAGTTTGGGGACCGGCATATTCGTCGATTGTTGAACAAAGAGCATATTCTCGCCCTCCTGGAGGGAGACGTCATACCCGGCATGGACATCAGTCGGGCTGTACTTAACAGCGAAGTGCTCACCGACGCGGTAAATAGGGACGTCTCCTTCGCGGTGGGAGCCCACCTTGGGAGCAGCAAGGATCTCCGCCACGGAGGGTAGAGGTGCTGGGAGGAGCTCATCAGGGACACGATATGGTAATTTAGGTCGCGTAGCGGGCGTGGTAACCTTTTCGAGGGCGCAGAGCGACGAGGTCTCGACGAGGATATCCAGTACCGATGGGAATGGGGACCTAGGGGAAGATTTAGCCATGATGTCTATGGTGGACTTCTTAAGCCTCTGCGACGGAAGCCGAAGTTTCAGTTAGAATCACCCTTAGGAACGAAGCTATAGTCGTGTTCTGTGCCTGTCGTAGGGAATTTGGAGGCTGGGTTAGGACCATGCTTAGGACCGAGCCCTTCTCGGTATTTATACCTACCTGATAGTATAGTATTCTTGGCCTTCTGCAAAAACAGCCATTTTACCCTTTGGTCTTTGTTGAGGTTATTACGTTGGCCAGGCTTCAGTTGTTTTCCCTCTGTGGCTTGCACCGAGACCAGGCTTCATGTCGATTCGCCGCCCAACCACCCACAAAGCAAACTAAGCGAGAATCTAAGAGAGCGTATAGGGAAACCATCCCATTGTTATGACACGTTCAGGAAGGGGTTGCCACGCCCTTGGCACCTAAACAAAAACAAACGTTTGGTGAGCTTACCTAGGCCTAGGAGATCCCTGTTGTGTGGGCTTTTAAATTTAGGTACTTCAGTTCCTGTCTTTAGGTTGAGAATTACCTAATGTACTCTTTTACTCTAGAGCCATAACTACTGCTAGCCTCTCAATGGCGGAGCATGTTTCCTGGGATAACCATCATCCCAGTGTTCTGACAGGGGTAGTTATTCCACAATTTGTGGGGGACAGAGTATGCGCCTCGGGGTATTAATCCATACCTATATAACGCGCGAGAGCATAGTCGTGTCCGGCCGGTGCGTGTCGGTTCCCACTACAAACAAAAGCACCACTACCACAGTAACTCTCGTGAGAGACCACAATGGATCTGGCCAACCCCAGCTGAGAACTCGACCTTGCCGGGGTCAACGCTCTTGTCAAGGCCGCGGACACTTTCGAGGTATTACCTTAACTGCATCTACATACATCCTCCAACCACTTTTAGCCTTTCCAAGTTCCTTTCCTCCCACCGCACCCCGGAGCAGAAGAAGGGGCGTGATCGATAGCAATGGAGATCTAGACCCACAGACAAGGTGTATTTCCAGTCCATCAAATAGTGTAGCGCCACACAAAGGTAAGAGTGGTACGAGGTTAGATATGTAGTAGTCATCCCCATATTATTTTCAGCTCTCATTACTCTCGTTGCAGAGTGAATTCACCTCCCATCTAAGCAACCGATGATTCCGCCCTAGCGCAGAACTCACAACCAACAACCTCAGTGCATTCACAGTAGCCTGTTGGTCCGACCGCCTACTAACTTATTTACACCCTCAGCTTTCCGACTCCACCACTCCATCAAGTAGGACAACACAAAGCACGCTCCCCCCCCCACCCCGACCGATCCAACCTCCACCTCACAACAGCCCCACCAAACCCGCCAACCCGGCCACCAACACCCCAACCCACGAAGACGTGGACCCGTGGCTGGGGACCACAAGCGGCCCTGGGGCAGCACCGGCAGTCGACACGGACTAGACTCACAGCGTCAGCAACCTCAAGGTATTTAGGTAGTATCACGCGCGCGCGCAACCAGCCAATTAATGACCCACTACGGAACTCACACTAGTCGCCGACGGGCCAGAGTTGGCCGTCTCGGCGTCGGTAGCAGCGCTGCTCGGTGGCGGTGGGGTGGTGACAGCCGTTCCGGTTCCGGTTTCGGTTCCGGTTTCGGTTTCAGTCGTGGGAGTGGGAGCGGGAACAGACGTGGGAGCGGACGACGCGGGAGCGGCCGGCGACGGGGTGGCGCTTAGGCCGCACGCCGACGCGGCGCCGCCCACGCCGGTGCCGTAGATGCGCCAGATGTCGAACTCCAGCGCGCACTCCAGGCAGGCGTCGTAGTAGCCCGTCCAGGTTGCGTTGGTGCAGTGGGTTGGGTTGCGGCCACCGGCGAGGGCGTTACCTGCGTGGGGGGAAGGATGGGTTAGTGTTTAGGGGTGGTTGGGGAGGAAAGGACTGGAGGCGGGGGGATGGTTACCGCAGTTGGAGTGGCATTCGTACTGTGGTGTGCCGGGGGCTTGGCGGCTCAGGATCAGAGCGTGGTCTAGTGGCTGAGTGTTTTCCAGGAGGGCAGCATTGGCGAAGGAAACTGCCAAAAGGCCAAACAAAGATAGCATTAAGAGGTTTTGCATGTTTTCGAATGGATAGTACGAGAGCTCCGAAGGTGTGGAACGAGGGTCTGAAAGGACTCAAAGGAGGGTGTGAAAGAAGGGTGGGTTGTGTTGGATCAGAACAGGACGGACGGCACGAACAAAAGGAGAGAGATTAAGAGGGAAAGGGGTTGTAATGGCCAATTCCAACCAAACTCCGTAATGACCCGGGGGCCTCCGATTCGAGATGGAATGCGATGTCGGCTGTCCGAAAGCTGGTCTTCGTGTTTTCTCTTGTTTGTCGACAGGGGTTACCGGACGAATGACCCCTGGTCGGGAGTTTGAAGCCGTCCAATAATGGGTTTGGATCAGATCTAATCAAAAGCGGGACTACTGCGCCAAGCCAATTTATCTGATCATCTGGACAACAATGGTCCAATTGAAGCAGCTCAAGGAGCGAGGACCGCTCGAAAAAACCTGCGAGGAGGAGTGCAGAGTCGGGAAGGTGCCATTCAATGCTCAAAATCAGGCCACCAAGCAAACTGGATTCTTTATCCGGGTTAGCAACAGCAAAAACTTTGCGTCCTTTGGGTCTTGGTTTCCCGGCCTTTTTTCCATGAGCGGTAAGCCGGTAAATCCCTCCGGACTCGAGCCATTTGGCGGCTGAGATGCATTGACAGAACCGCATTTGTCTCGTGGGTAAGAAATCCTGAATTCTCTGTGTCACCTTTCTCTTGGCAGCAATTTCTGCCATTGGCCTGCCCCCGCATGTGTCCCAACGCCGATAGAGGGGCTAGGACCACAGAAGATAAAGGACGGCAGTGCTACCCACCCGTTTCCGTGCTTCCAGGTGGTACTTAGGTACGCTGTCAGTCATACCAGACACTCGATAAGGGGCAATGTGTGTTGTCACCCCGCCCGCCCTCTCCTCACTTTCCACTTAGGCTACGTCCAATCCTCGAATCTATCCTGAAACCAATTCTTTACCCAAACTCTGCGCCTTTAACATCTAGATTTTGACGTAGAGCACCTCGACATGGCGCTTCTTCGGCCAGTGCTCGTCCTCGCGCTGGCGACTAAGGCACTGGGCGCATCCGACAACATGGGCCCTGCCTCCTTCTTTTGGCCGCCCGACCGTGCCTGGTCCGCACAAACAGACAACACGCCGCCGTGTGGCTCTAGTGCTGGCGTCGGCAATAGAACAGAGTTTCCCTTGAGTAAGCGCTCTAGTTGATGGTTCTGGTACGTTGTTACTGATCCATGATTTCACCAGGCGGTGGTAAGATTGCGTTTACCGCCCAGGACGATTCCTACGACACGCAATTGAGCATCTCCTTCAGCAACGGTAGCAACGCCCACCACCTCCTCCCAACACGAAACCATCCTCTCTCTCCCAACCCCCTAAACCACCACCCTCCGGCGCACCAGCCCCCAAACCCACCACCAAGACAAGACAAGATCTAACCAACCCCCCCCTAAACCCCAGACCCCCAATCCCAATCCGACTTCACCCGCCTCGCCACCACCCCTATCCCCGAGCTCGACCCCGGCCACACCTGCCTCTCCATCCCGGACCCACCCCAAGCCCTAGCGCGCGCCGGCGTCAACGCCACCCTTCAGATGCGCTACACGGCCGACTTCGACCGGCCCGAGAACCAGACCTTCTACGCCTGCGCCGACGTCGTCTTCGTGCCCGCGGCGGCCTTCAACCCGGCCGACGTGCCCTGCTTTAATGCGTCTGACCCGGTCGATGTGCCCGCCCCGACGGTCACGGGTGAGCCGACGGGGTTGCCGGGACATGAGGAGGGGGGCCCGCCTTTGGTTGAGGATGGCGGTGATGATGGGGAGGGGGAGGGTGATGGTGGGCGGAGGTTGTCATCGGGGGCGATTGCTGGTGCGGTGGTGGGAAGTGTGGTGGGGTTTGCGCTGATTGTGGGGCTGGGGTTGTTGTTCTATCGCGAGCGCGAGCGCAAGAAGAGGCTGTTGCGGGAGAGAGATGCTGGGAGGGCGGTTAAGTGGGTGGATGACTCGCAGGGACGCAGCCAGGCTGGGAAAGACTCGACGTCGGTGGCGGGGGAGAGTATCAGGATGGGGAATCTGCCGGCGCAGGGCTGATTGGAAATCGGGGAAAGTGTGATGTCTATGTCTCTGATATTACAACTTGTTGGGTATTTGGGCAGTCTTGTTATTCAAATGCGATCAATTAGATAAAACTCACAAAATTGCGGCAATGTCTCTTGCATGATGGGCAGGTCGTTTTTAACACCCCCACTTCCCAACAAGACGTCGTTTTATAGTTTTCGGCCCCCCACCCCCTGCATGATTGTTTCCTTGTTTATGTCGCGGAAGTACCAATTTTGTGGCGTTGAGAATTGACACTGTCCGATTCCATGCGAACCACGTGGAGATCGGGCGGAAACATGCAGAGTGCTGAAACTACGCGGGAAACACGCGGGAAACACGCGGGAACCATGCGATTTCAATTTTGTACCGTGGCGTCCAATCCATCATCGAGGGAATTCTTAAAAGGGAAAAACTCGGAAATGAAGTGAAAGCCTTCATTCTCCACTTTCGCTTCCAGCTGTCAATCATGCCTGTCTGCACTTCGCATTCCGCCCCATGCTTGAAGAGGGTTCACATGCCGAGGGAAATTACAGACTGCAACACTCAAGCATAATGCAACCCGTAGATTTGGACCATACAAAAACTATGCCTCCTGCCTCTTGACGGCTTGAGGACAGCGTGGGTATCCCCTATACATACCGAAACGGGTCATTGATGACCGTAACCCTTGTCATGTTTCCATCTCAGTCGTCTTCATTTGATGTGAAGGATGGTTGCAGGTGACCTAGTTCGAGTGGGGGCTGGAAGTGGGGGGATTAATGCGAATGCCTGACGTTCTTCCACAATCTAACGGGTTTTCAACAGGCCAGCAGCTCTCGGCCGATCTCGAAACAAAAGCCGGCCCGGTCGTCGGCGCCGGGGCCGGGTGCTAAACGACAGGCCCCACAATTCCCGGCCGCCAAGCCGGCCGCAGAAGGGTTCCGGCCCGGCGTTTGAACCCCTTCTTACCATTCAAAACGGGAATTCGCTGAATTGCACAACGCAAAAACCAGACGATGACCATCCATATAGCAGCCCAAGCCGTCGTTGAAACTAATGCCTTGTCAGAGCCCACTTGGCACAAACAATTTTGTGTCTCTTGACACCCCGCCCCCATTCCTGCCGCGTATCGGTGTTGTATGGTCAGTGCATTTAGGTTTCCAAGGGAGTTAAATGTAGCCGTCAGCATGGGGCTACCCAGATTTCCCATGATTCTCTCCGATTCCATCGGGCTTGAGCCGGGTCGTGTACCACCCTCGGATGCATCTCTTCCCTAACTCAAAGCCACATTGCACTGATACTCATCCAAGATGAATACCTTCAGGAAGAATGGTAACTCAGCTGCAAGGTCAACGCAGAGACCAGCTACCAAAAGACCGCAGAGTGGAGCACCGCAGTCACAGACCACGACCACGAAAACTACGAAGAAAGTGGTAGCAGGGCCCAATGGTCAACCAGTCCAGGTCGTTGGTGCGTCCTAAACCCCTGGCCACTCCCACTTGACTTCCATAAGCAACTACTGATTGCCTTGTCTTGAAAACAGAAGAGCGTACGGTCAAAAAGACCATGTGGACCCGAGCCGTAAACGGCGCCAGCAAAGCCGCTAAACCCAGCACCTGGAAGCACCCAGGCAAGTCCGCCAAAACCCCCCCCACCCACGCCAGCAAGCTAGGCAAAGACAGCTCAGGCTTCAACCTGAGCTACTACCGCAAGTCCTTCTTCATGCTCGAAAAACAAGCCCAATTCGACCTCTACGTGAACGGCCTCGCCCCCAAAATGACCATCTGGGAAGTCAACATGCTCAAAGCGTCCCGCCGCCGCGCCGTGCGCGTCTTCCGTCCGCACGCCGTCATGTACGAGGCGCACGTCTCGCCGCAGGGCTACACGGCGCCGACGCGCGACCTCGTCGCCGAAGCCAAAGCCGCCAAGCGCCGCGCCGCTGCCACCGCCCAGGCCCGCAAGACCAAGCTCGCCAACTCCACCGCCGCGGCCCCCGGCGACGCCCTCCCCATCCACCCCACCCCGGCCCACTACGCAAAGATCCAAACCCCCCGCCCGACAAAGGCCCAGCAGCAGCAGCAACAGCAGCTGCGCCAGAAAGAGGCGGAACAGCGCCTGCGCCAGAAACAGCTGCAGGAGAAGTATCGGTTGCAGCAGCAGCAGCAGCAGCAGCAGCAGGCTGCGCGGGTGCGGCAGGCGGGGGCGGCTGGGCAGGGCCGCGTGGTGGGGGGGAGGCGTGTGGTGGGGCAGAGCGTGGCGAGTAGTTCGAGGAATTAGGTGAGGGTTGTGAGGGGGGCCGAGTTGGGGTAAGGGGTAGGGGTTGTGGTTGTTGGTTCTGTAGTTGCTGAATGAAGGCGGATGTTAGATGGATGGATGGAATTTATTTCGCCCGGAGGCACTGGGCCTATAGGGCCTTAGCACGCTAACTACATCCGGATCAAATCGTTTTGCCTTTAACTCGTACAAGCCCCCTACTTCTTCCCTCTTTCTCGCTGCACCATTTACCTCTTGCCTTGGTTGTTGTTAGCAGATCAGCTTGGAGGCTACTTTCTCCAAGTGTTCAGCGTCCTATCTTCAGCAGCTAAAGCGGGACCTGCTGGTTAAGGCTCGTGGTTGAGGCTCGTGGTGTTGAGTGTCGGCTTCTTCTACTGTGACTGGTCTAGATTCTCCTCCTCATTCAGCTCCAGCCTTCCTGTGCCTTTGTGTCCGCTAGGGCACATTCCATTTGACGTTGGTATTCCTGGAGCTGATGGTGTAACTCTTGGATCGTGTTCTGCTGCTTGCTGACCCCGTCGCGTAATTCGCCCCCTCAAGGGTCCATTGTTCGATGATTGTA